ACCGCCACCTCCGGAGTCGGCTTGACTCGGTTTGCATTTATAAAGAATGCACACATGTGTTTAATCGTTAATGTCAGATATGTACTAAGTAAATACATTTGTTCCTGATCAAGATTAGATTCAACTTTATTGTTGTTGCACATATTACAGGTACTGAGACAACGAAATGCAGTGTAGCTTCTAACCAGGTGCAACAAGCAGTAAAGTGAAAAGTAATGTACACAATCTACAGAATAAAATATAGAATGAATTGAATGATGAATAAACAGTGAGGGCTATGAATACACTAGATATACACAGCAGCCTGAGAGCAGTATGAACAGTGTGTATGAATATGCTAAGATATATAAAGTATGAAAACGGTAAGCAGTGCAAGTATAGTATAAAATATATAGATATTAATTTCATGATGATAAATATTGTGGAACAATGATGAAAAATGGGAATGGATGTGGCGACGTAAAACTGACACAAAACAACAACAAACTTTTGCCGAGCCAATTGGAGAGTTTAATCACCAGCATGGGGTAAAAACCACCAATGAGCGCTCAGCTCGAGATACCAGCGAGTTTCCCATCAAGCATTTCGCTTCCGCAGCCCGTGGAGAGGAACTGCGCCGCCTCGCCGCGCCTCGCTCTCAAGGCTGCGGGCATCTTTGTCCCGCGAGATTTCAACGTCTCATGTGGGCGGGCCTCCAGAGCAAGTCGGACAAAATAACTAACCATCATGCAACGCACTAGCAAGACGTTGATCGCAACTGCGCAGGTCTGCGCAGGTCTCGCTTGTCTCAAACAAGCCTAATGTGTCAATGTTGTCCTACTTGGGTTGCCGTCCGGAGTTGTCCAATATGGCGGACCATCTCGCACATGCGCAGTACCGATCGGGCAGGGGGACGGATCGGGTAGTGACTGTGGCTGCTTCTCAGGTCGATTAAATGAAATCCTTGCTTTCCTCACTTGCGTCGTTTCCCTGCGTTTAGTCCCTCCCACCAGGGAAGCATGGAGGGACGCAAGGAAACCACGAGAAGCAGGGAAATTAGTTTTAAGAGCAATGGGACGTCCTTTCCTCCGGAGCGTCACGTGAAGCGACGTCCGTTTGTGATGACGCTGCACAGCTGTTCGTCTGACAGCAGCCAGCTATGTACCCGTTATTTCCACAAACACCCCCGCCTCTGTTAGCACACATTTACTGACATAAACATTAGTATCATCTGTTGTAGATCCAAATACATGAAATAAAATAAGAAGTCATTCTCAAAAAAGATAAACGCCATTCTTAAAATGTAAGCGAACAATAGTTTGATTAATATTGATTAGAGTGCACAATAGAAATAAAATAATTGAGAGAAGAAAAAGAGATAGCCTATGTTATCTATCAAAACCCAGTTAGATTAACATTCATTGGATTGCACACTTTGTGTGTTTGTGTGGATATGTAGCACATTAACATTTTAATAGCACTTAATGACTGACTGAATGGAAATGACAATAAATGAAAATGTAAAACGAAAAAAGTGATCATGAAAATGTTTCCAAAAAATGAATAAAATGATTTGTGACCACTTTGTTGTTCAGATATATCACATATTTGAAACTAAATGATACATGAATTGAAACAAAACACGGTATAAACTGAGGAGTGACTCCCGTGAGGTTCATGTATTTTCTTCACTCTGCTCTCATGTCAAGAAGCATCAGATCAGTGCATGCACTGCCTCGTCCAATCAGTGAGCGATACACAGTAAGGGGGCGGGGTGAGTATCTGAGGATTTCATCGAAGGATGGTCTGGTGGTTCCTCGGTTATCGCTCCTCGCTCCTCGCTCCTCGCTCCTCGATCCTCGGTCCTCCGGCAGAAATAAGAGCCATGGGACGGTACTCAAGATGGCGCAGGCAAATCAACTTCCGGTGAGACCGAGGACCGAGGAGCGAGGAAATGAAAATAGTCGACCTGAGAAGCAGCCTGTCACTACCCGATCTGCAGCTCTGCCCGATCTGCTGTGCGCATGTGCGAGATGGTCCGCCATATTGGACAACGCCGGACGGCAACCCAAGTAGGACAAAATTGACATCTAGACCGTCTGAACCATTCGCGAGTTTTTACATGTGACAAACGGTGATTTGCAGAGTTTTTACATGTGACAAACGGTTATTTGCATTGCATCTGACAGAATGAAGACTTTTGCATCTGACAGAATGAAGACTTTTGTGTTTTATTACAGAATGAAGACTTTTGCATCTGACAGAATGAAGACTTTTGTGTTTTATTATTTGGGGTTAAGACAGAGCCTATCATACTGAATACATATTAGAGCAAATCTCTGTTCTCAGTCCTTTTCTTCAGACTATTATTGCTACATTTGAAAGAGTCCTTACCAGCTTTGGAATTGTGTGTATATATATATATATATAGATATATATATATATATATATATATATATATATATATATATATATATATATATATATATATATATATATACAATTCCATATATATATATATATAGCACCTTCTGCCATATCGTCACCCTTTGCAGTGATTGACTTGAACACTGAGAATGTTTTTATGAACTTCAGACATTTTCATATACAAATGTGATCATACACCAACACACATTTTAGAGATATACATTTTTCACACACAACCATTTACTAAATTAAACCATATCCCATCATAATACGAGCAAATAAGAAGGCACAGCAATAAATATATTGTGTGTGTGTGGGTGGGGGGGGTGTTAAGATCCAGGTCCAATGGGGGCAGAGGGGAGAGGTGGGAGAGTTCAGCATCCTACAGGAAATGTCATTTGCATGTAATATTATTTATTCATATGGAATTATATAACTGGAGTTTGTTATCCTTTAATTTTGCTTGATTAATTAAAAAAACACAAACACAAACATAAAAAATGGGTCATTCAGGAATACAATTATTATATTATAAATAATAATAAAATAATAAATTATATTATAATATTGAATTAAATATGTTTTTGTATAGTATTATTTCATTTAGAAAGGCAATACAAATACAATAGAATAAAAATACAATACAAAACTTGGGACAGAGCTAAGTAACTGATCAGTTAGTCACAACACAAAATAACAGGAGAATGAGAATTAATTACCTTTTACTGTAAAGTTCGATGACGCACGGCGCATTTGATCTCGCTCATTTTTAGAGAGGTCTGTGTGAAATTCACCTTCAGTTCAGACATGTATTCTCTCAAATTGTTGTAAAACACTAAAGTCTTCACTCTGTCAGATGCAATGCAAATCACCGTTTGTCACATGTAAAAACTCTGCAAATCACCGTTTGTCACATGTAAAAACTTGCGAATGGTTCAGACGGTCTAGATGTCAATGTTGTCCTACTTGGGTTGCCGTCCGGTGTTGTCCAATATGGCGGACCATCTCGCACATGCGCACAGCAGATCGGGCAGAGCTGCAGATCGGGTAGTGACAGTGACAACAGGAACCACTGGACCTCTCTTGACGAAAGGAGAGGAGAAAATGCTGCCCCACAATGCATTGCAGCCGCAGCATTTGCCGCACAACAGTCGGCCGTTCACGGAAACAACCGATTATGACGAGAAATGATATCATGAAAGTTACGGTGCTTATTAAGCATTTTAAAACGTAAGTTGCCAAAGTGCTTTGTTCTGAACGTTCATCAGTATTATAATCAAAGAGAGAAATATGAACGTTAGTTTTTACTGAAATTATCAAATCAAGTCAACATTTCACAGTCTTTACTGAGCTGTGTGGAGTTTGTTCAACTTTTAAAATATGTTTGTTTCATTTTCCTTTTTTATTTCAATTCCAACTTTGGTCATGAAGAATATGTTTCTCTGTTGTCCACGTTCATAAAGCATAAAGCAACAGCATCAGAGCACGGTGCAGATCTTATTAAACATCCATGTTGTAGTCCGCTGTATAGAAAACTGTAGTTTCCATAGTTTCCCCACAGCAGCAGACGCACATTCATGACGTCCGCTGGCGCATCATAAACACGTCGGATAGTGAAAGTGCAGTCGGATTCTCTAATGGCGCGTTTCCACTGCAGTGGGTAGCTCGCTTTAAGCGTGCCGAGCCGTGCGGGGCCCGTTTTTGGTTGCGTTTCCACTTGGCCTAGTTTTGGCCCGGGGCTACTTTTTCACCTTTTTTCTGGCCCGACTAAATCGTGGTTCTAGGGCCAGGAACAACCAGGCTGAGTCGGGCTGAGTATGCTAAACTAGAGAGAGAATCGCTGGCAAGGGGGCTACAACTACAATAAGATGAACATATTTGACCGTGATTTAATTGTAATACACGTTTCAAAATGATGTCGAAGTAACAACATACTGATACCGGTTAGTAAAAACCATGAATTAATGCTTTGACAAGTCTGCAGACAGACGGCAGGCGAAAAACCCTTTTAAAATGCTTGTTTTCTAAATGGAGCTTGGCTAAGCTAACGTTATATAGGGTCCGACCGTCCACACTCACAACAACGGCCTATACAGACATAAATAAACCAGCGACTGTATTCGCCATGACACAGGCAGTCTGTGGTTTGTACTTGTTTAACTTTTGTCTAGTTTCTGAACAGATATGAGGAGCTGTGAGCTCTGAGTGCTAACAGCTAACGGCTGTGTTGTTTTTCTGGGGCTCTCATTGAAGATGACGTCACGGCTCCGCCTACACTGCGTTACTATAGTAACTGCCCCAGTTCCTAAACTGTAATGGAAGCGCAGCATTATGGCGCGTTTCCACTGCAGCGGGTAGCTCGCTTTAAGCGCGGCGAGCCGTGCGGGGCCCGTTTTTGGTTGCGTTTCCACTTGGCCTAGTTTTGGCCCGAGGCTACTTTTTCACCCTTTTTCTGGCCCGACTAAATCGTGGTTCTATCGAGGCCAACAAGCGGGGCCAACAACCGGGCGGAATATGCTAAACTAGTGACTGACTTAATCCCTAGTGTCGCATATATTAAGGTACGCTTGCAGCATTTTTGTAAACCTAAGAAAATGGCAAAGAAAAACATACCGTGGTCGATTGACGAAGTTGCGACGTTCCTCCAGCTGATTGCAGATGATACAATCCAGCGGGAGCTCGACGGCACAACTCGCAACCTAAAAGTTTTTCAGGAGGTCTCTGCACTGTTGTCCGAGCGCGGATTCTCAAGGACTTTCCAGCAGTGTAGGGAAAAACGGAAAAAGCTTAAGAGTGAGTATAGAGCCGTGAAGGACCACAACGGCCGGAGTGGTTCAGATAGGAAAAGCTGGAAGTGGTTCGACCTGTTGGACGCTATTTATGGCCATAGACCGGCCAACGTTGGGAGGGAGGGAGGCCTGGACTCTGCAACCGTGTTACTGGAGTCCCTGCATGGTAAGTCTTTGCTAACGCTCTGTTATTTGCTTGAAAGCGTTGTGTCCCTATCTATTCTAAAGCTCACTTCTAACAAACAAGTATTTTATCCTTACATTTATGTTCGTCAACCCATGCTTTTATGGAGCCCCGAAGAGCTACATAGCTAGCTGGCAGATAGCATTAGCTAGAGCTATTGTTTGCTAACACCACATGCGCCATTGTTTAGGTTCTTCTTTTCTACAGTTGTTGTTGCTATTTAGTATTGTGCTACAGTAGTTTGTGGAATTAACAAGTCATGTTGCTGTTCTAGATGATGCCATTGGGACTAGTGAGGAGGAACAGTCCCAAACAACGGGTGGTGGCAGTGTTCCGTCCTCAACATCATCAGAACACACCTCAACTCGACCACAGACACCAGTCGAGGAACCGACACCAACGCCGAGTGCCATCACGACACCGCAGCGTGTGGTTCTAGGTAAGAAATAGGTATGGTAAAACGACTGGAATTGTGACTTTTTTTTAAACTTTAGATCATCCATCGTCATTAAGTAAAATAAGCTATACCACTGTGTGGAAATGCTCTGTTACAAACTAGCTAGTACGCAGCTAGTACAATTGTGTGTGACATCCTATTATATACATATATTTATATTCATTATCAACAGGCTGGACATAATGTAATTCACTTTCACAATCATTGTAAACATCTAGGGCATAACTGTCTTTAGTTCATCCTTACTGTTGTTCTGCTTATACATTGTATTGTATCCTTGTGTGACCTGTACCTGTCCTGTGTTTTTCATTGTTATTGCTAATTCGTATTGCTATAATTATCTTATCGTCATACAGGCAAGAGGAAACGAGGAGGAGACGAGCTCCTAGCACAGCAGGCACGGCACCATGAACAGAACCTGGCCCAGGTGGATCGGCACTGGCAGCTGACCATGGAGGCTGCTGCCCGGGCGAGGGAGGAGGAAATGGCCTTGAGAAGGGAGGAGAACGCTCAAACTCATGCGTTTAACCTGGCCTTCCTGCGCACTCTCGGCCAGGTTCTAGGGGGCAGCCGACGTGGCCCGTCTCCTCAGGAAGACGAACCACCTCTGTAATTTTAATATTATTCAGTTTCATCTCTCTTGTTTTTGTTAATTTGAAAATGCAACATTTATACTTTCTTGTTTATTTCTTATCTTTCCTTTTTTTTTTTTATAATGCCATATCTATTTATGCTGCTGCAATACAAACATTTTTTATTTTGTATTTGTACAATGCCATGCCTTTTTATGCTGCAACAAAAAACACTTCCCAAATTGGGATTCAATAAAGTACTTCTCATCTTATCTCTTGTTGATAAATGCATCATCTGATTAACAAACTGATTTCCGTGAGCATGTAAACAAAGTCACTGGGTGGCCACTCACACACAAAATTACAGTTTTGGAATCCAATCATAAACTGAAATGTACAATTAAAGGGCTTTAAATCAGCAGAACAAAAACTCAGATTCACATGAGGCAGAAGTTATAGGCCTATATTTTTCCTAAATAAAAATAGGCTACAACTAATACCATTACTAATAATATTTGTGGATCTTTAAAAACAAAAGCCTACAATATCACTCAAAAACAATTGTAAAAATAGCCCAATTAAGATCTAGAGATATAAACATACATGAATTTATAAAGCAATAAGAAACACCATCAGTTAGGAAAAAGCCCATAAGATAAAAGTTAATTTTAAGAAGAGATTTAAAGCAAGAAATTGAGTTTGCTTGCTTGAGGTCCTCCTCTAAAACATTATTTGGTAACTGACACATTACTTAAAGTAAAATATTTCCTTTTACAAATAAACTGGAAGGGGGTATTTAGAAAAAAACAGAAAGAGAAGGGGGATAAGAGATCATTTGTGTTTATGTTTACTTTCATATTTGCTCAAATGTTCTTATTATGGGGAAGTACTTACTGGTGCTTGAAAATCAAATATTTACTAAATAGTCAATTCTGATAACATTTTTTTGTTTAAATCATTTGACAAACACATATGTGAAAGAGAAAAATAGATTTATTTATGTTAAATACAATGTAGTAATAATAAAAACAAAACAAAATGTCACTAGCCTTAATGGCCCACAATCTTTCAATGTCGTGTTTATAATTACAAACACAAGAAATGTATATCAACTTACTGAACCATGATGTTATGAACCAAAACATTCAAGTTTCCTGTATACAATGAATATTTAGCTATTCAGGTAGCGCATCAAACCCTCTCGTATTTCAGTGCCCTCCTCCTCTGCACCTTGTGCCACTGCTACCCCTGGCTCTGCTGCTGCTGGTGCATCCCACCCATCATCATAGGTCTCTCCATGACTCTCGCAGAGGTTATGCAGAGCACAGCATGTCAGCACCATGGATTTAACAAGTTTCACATCACAGTCATTTCTTTTCATGAGGCAACGCCACCTTCCCTTCAGTCTACCAAAAGCGTTTTCTACCACTACCCGTGCGCTGCAAATTCTCTTGTTGTAGAACACATGTTCTGCTGTCAGCCGTCCATTGTCAGGGAACGTTTTTATGAGCCAGTTTTGCAAGGGATAGGCATTGTCTCCCAGGATGTAATGGCCAGCATTCACCCCACCAATGTCCCTGGTGCAAGGTGGAAAGTAGTTGCCACGACTGGCTAACTCCCACAATGAGGACAGCCTCAAAACCCGAGCGTCATGCAAGCTCCCGGGCATTCCTGCAAACACATTCCAGAAATGTCCCTTTCCATCTACAACTCCTTGAAGGAGGATGGAGTGCCAGCCTTTACGGTTGAAATAGTCACAGTGGTATTCCTGTGGTGCCAAGATGGGTATGTGTGATCCATCAATAGCACCTACACACTGTGGGAGCCCCCACCTGTTCTCAGTGTAGGCAGCCATTTCTGCAAACTGCTCCCGGTCTGGTGAACGAATTAGTTCCGGTACCAACAACGTCTCTGCAGCAGCACAGAAGTCTTGCACACACCGGCACACAGTAGTCCTGCTCACTCCGAAAATAAGTCCAATGCTTCTTTACTCTGAGCCGGTAGAAAGCTTCCACAGTGCGATGGCCACCCTCTTCTTTAGAGGTATACACTCGCGGAATGTTGTGTCCTGTCTCTCCATCGCTGGCCGCAGTTTGTTGCACAGGTATACGTAGGTTTCCTCAGACATCCTGAAGTTCTCCACCCACTGAGTGTGTGTGAAAGATGGAACAATCACACCCCACCACTCGGTTGCTCGGTCAAGCATCCAAACACATGGTCTGCGGTGGCAACCTAACTTCTGAAATACACAAACAAAAGCATACATATTTTAATACGTAAAAGTGGTAGCTACAATTAATTAAATACTTGAAACACTTTTGTCATATAATGAGCGTGAAACACTTTTGTCGTATAGTGAGCGTGAAACACATTGCTAGTTAGCGAACATTAGCTTACCGAGTAGCGTTGTCGTTGAGTCGTCCTGGAGTAGTCTCTGCCGCGTTGTACGATTGCCATAAGTCTCCCCTCAGCTTCTTCTGTATTACGTCTTGCTATAAGCAGCCTTTTCCGAAACAAAGTTTTCCTTCTTGCTGTGATAAAAAACCACATACCAAGAAGCAAGGACACGATGGCTTCCACATCCTCCATTGTTGTTGTGTGTTTTGTGAGTTGTGTCGCATTGAAGATGACATCACGGCAGTTGTATGCAGCGTCGCTCCGCCCGCCAAAAAGCTGATCGCCCCGCCTACACTGCGTTACTATGGTAACTATCCCAGTTCCTAAACTGTAATGGAAACGCGGCATTAAAGTGAGCCGGGCTAAACCAAACCGAGCGAGGCCTGCAGTGGAAACGCGCCAAAAGTGAGTCGGGCCTAATAAGGCCTAACCAAACCGAGCGAGGCCTGCAGTGGAAACGCGCCATAAAGTAAGCCTACCGCAGTCTCTTCTCCTAAGTCCTTTTGAATTCTCCTATCCACTATCCCTTAACCCCGTGACGTTAAGGAATAGGAGATAGGGTTAGAATTTAGGAGCTGATTTTTGGATTATCCGACCGCAACCCCGTTGTTTTCACAAACACCCTGTTAGTACACATTTACGGACAACATTTGTATCATCTGTTGTAGACCCAAATACATTAAATAAAATAAGAAATCATTCTCAAAAAAGATAAACGCCATTCTTAAAATGTATAAACAAAAAAAGCGATCATGAAAATGTTTCCAATAAATGAATAAAATAATTTTTGACCACTTTGTTGTTCAGATATATCACATATTTGTAACTGAATGATACATTCATTGAAACAAAACACAGTATAGACTGAGGAGTGACTCTCGTGAGTTTCATGTATTTTCTTCACTCCGCTGCACATGTGTATGAGAATGGCCCTGACTCCATGTCAGCCCAGATCTAAACTCCTGGCAGGACAAGCTCCAGCTCAATTCTCGCACTGAACAAAACAAAGTGAGTGAGGGACTGCAATATAAGAGGGAAAGAAAGAGAAACTTTAAAACTGTTCAATTGTTATGATGTAAAACTGATATTGTTCTATAATCGTCTGAAACTGTTAAGTCATGATGTGAAACGGTTAACAAAGAAAAAGGGAAACTCAAGCTGCTGCTACACTTTATTTTATTTATCTAAAATTAAGCACTTTTGAGATGCACATATTTTCAAAAGCTATTTTATTTATTTTCTCTATTTTATTTTTAAATGCAGCCCGAGAGGAACATTACACATATCCACAGTACTTACTGTATATCTTTAGTTCAATGTTAATTGACAATAAGTATTGTTGTTTTTGAATTGTACTTTCTTTATTTGATTGGCAGTCAGTTGTTGATTACATGCAGACGTTGATAAAGACATTTTCTCTAACTGGACCTCGTTGCATTTTTGTTGAATACCCCTGCTAGGCTTAAACGCCTTCCTTCCTTCCTGCGGGTTTGCATTACAACCTTTATATATACAGTCTATGATTTCAACACAGGAAAATGGAGAACTGGAAGATGAGTGGAAAAGCGTCACATAAATCTTAGTGCCCACAGCTCCGTGGGAATTATTATGTGCAATTCATTTCTTAAGGTTATACAATTTAAGTCATGTTTAATGATCTTGAACGTCACTAAAACATAGCTATTAAGAAAGCTATTTCATAAATGGCTAGATCTTGATAGCAATTATTGTTATAGTTTTGTGTTAAAATATTCAGGAGTTAAATCATTTGAAATGCACAGTCCTGAATGTGGGTTTGTGATGAATGTGGGGATCTACAGGACACACATTTTCAGAGTAAAGGCTTTCACATTATTATAATTATATTTTTATTGAAATGTAGATTTTACACCACAACGGAACAGAAAAGCAGGACCAACCATCATACATTGAATTCCTTGACTAACAAGAGAAAGATTCATTCATTTAAATACATATTTAACCAGAAATGGGCCGGTTCTAACTTCTAAGGGGTTATTCAGTTAAGCCCGATGAGAGGGGATACAGCTGTGCACATGTCATCATTAACAGACGTCGTTTAAGAGTGACGTTTGATTGAACGAGGACGTCCCAATTAATACCTGAGGACTCCTCTGTCCTCGCGTCTCCTCCTCGTGTCTCCGGAGACGGAGCTAAGACGCAAGGAAGGGACGCGAGTGAGGGAAAGGAGGAGGTGAAATATTCAATTGAGACGAGCCTAACTAATTCAATAAACCGGAAGTTGTGGTTGCGACTCGCCATTAAAGCAAAGAAGAAGAAGAAGAAGAAGAAGAAGAAACCGGAAGTTTGATGTAACGGATGCGGAAACGGAAGACCAGCTGATAAGCTGGAGGAGAAACGTCGAGTTATAAATACTAATACAACGGTGTTTTGTAGGCTATAAATGACCACTGCGTGGGTTTAAGCAGCCTCTTCGTATACTTTATGGACGGAAGTAACGACGGATATAAGTAACTTGCTTTGACGTTAGTTTCCTGTAACCCTTTTTGGTTTCCATGTAAACATACCTAACGTGACCGATAGCATACTGTTCTGTCGCGAGAGTCTAGCTGCTTCAGCACGCTGAACTGCTGCCTGGGAGAAACGGGCTGTGATGTCTCACCTCCTTCATGAGTCATGAATCCCGTCATTAAAGAAATTGATCCGGTTCACAGGTACGTTATAAAAGTTAAATCCATCTGATGTCATACCGTAACAATATCATTTACTGCAAGGAAAGATAAAAAACAAACAGTGATGAACCGTGCGCAACCACCACTGCCCTTTTATTGTTAGGTTCCCTGTGATCTGCGAGGGGATTCATGGTTGATGCTGATCCTAAAGGGAGGAGTTTACAATGTCACACAAGTGTGAGTCTTTTGTCTTTGCTAAGTCGCGACGGTAATTTAGTGAACCTGTATGGCTAGCATTGAAAGGTGTCGAAAACTGATTGACGTTCGCGGAAGACGTTCTTCCTGCCTGTTTTATGTTATATGCAAATGGATTGATTGATGCTTTTACTGAACTATTGAATATTAAAGTTTGTCCGGACATTTGCCCAAGCTGGCTCTAAAATAAGCTTTATAAATCACTGGGATACAGCATAAATTAATATTTGAAAATACTATTATTATTATTATTATTATTATTATGAATTAAGGTGTTTAATTGCATATGGAATTCAGGGACATTCTTTCAAATTAGACTTAGTCCAAAGTGGTAACACTTAGAAAAATAATCTGACATTTGGATTTAATGCTTGTCTTGATTTGCTGAAGTCTGTTTTACAATTCAATAGAAAACGGATTATAAAATACATTGCCTATCAATAGTCATCATAGAGTGGCGAAGTCCCTCCCTTTCCGGGGGACCTCCATGGGACCTTATTTCGAAAAAAGAAGGTATTGAAGTCAATGGAGAGAGAAAGATTATCTTTCGATCCCGTTTGAATTGTGCCACGAATTACACATATGATGTTTGCAGTGGCGTTTGTATATGTACAAAAGTGGTGGGGCACAAACAACTTAGATGTCTATAAGCTTCTGCAGTGAGGTTCATGGCTGGTGAGGCTCTGACTCTTCAGGTTTACAAATATTATATTTTGACCTAAATCAAAATATAATATTATTTTCAAAAGCTTTTTTTGTCTGATGCTTCAATTAATTTTAAACAGACAGTTCAACAAAAGGATACCCACAAAATGTAATTTGATCATTTAAATATTGAATTGTTCTCTCTTAGTAAGATCCCATTTTCAATACAATTGCAGTCTTACCTTGACTTGAAGATGAAGTCCATTTGCCTATCCTTCTGGACAAAAATCTCTATTACTTTTTTGTAAAAGTCCTCCTTATGTAGTTTCAAAAGTCTATCAAAAATCTAATCTAATCAATAGATTTATGATTCGAAAATTATAAAAGTAGGGTAGACATGTGGATATTATCCGACTGAACAAAACGTGCATTTATCTAACAGGTTTGTTTCCCACAGATCTTATTTGGAGCTATTTTCTAAAATCCTATGGAGAAATATCATTGCTTTTTTGTGGAGGGAAGCCATGCACAGTTTATTTCCGGGTTTGAGGACGCCTCACTGCAGCTCTCTCGTCTCCTCTTCACACACCACACTTCGCGGCACAGGTACTTACAGCCAATCAGCTCTGAATGATGTGAGATGACGTATGGTGGGGATGGCAGCACTATGCCCCTATGGTCATTATTTTTTTGCCACACACATTAAATGGGACGATACTCTGAGCATGCGCAGTGTAGTTTTTACAGTCACCATTGACTTAGATGCTCACACTTTTTTGGCTGGTGAGCTACTTTTGAAATGACCAGCTCACCGAGGTCTACCAACCAAAAATAAAATCCCAAATTGCAAGGGTTGCTGAATAACACGTTTTATTTATACATGGGATAATAGGGCTGCAACAAACGACTAATTTGATAATCGATTAATCTATCGATTAATGAAACGATTAATCGACTATTCGGACTATTACTGTATGCCTTGCACAATTTCTCAAACGCTCTTATTTAGCCATCAACTTTTAGATTTAGCTTGAGGTTGTTTTAGGCATGTGGAAACTAACAATGAAGACAATAAAAATGAATACTTGATTACAAAATACATATATTATTAAATTAACTTACAAATTGTTTACAAAATTAACTTTGCTTTTTATTTAAATTAAATAATATTTCACATCAAAAGAAACAACAATGTTTTAACAAATCATATTAAATAATCTGATGACAGAACTGTAAACAGAATAGCTGAAACTTTAACAAAATAAAGAGTAACTCAGTTTCCTCTAATCATTAACCCATGTTTGTATCATTGAGTTAACTCCGTGTGGTGCTGCTAGCATACATAACACCTGACGTGGAAACGTTACTCGTGGATGGGGCTACAGAGCTACTAGAAAGACAGTGGAACCCGGTGCATTCCTCCGTCTGAATGTGGAGCACTTTGCTAAATGTTTAGACACATTGCTCGTGTTACCGCCCTTACATGCTAAACACTCTTGGCAACGAGCATTGTCCACATCGAGACGGGTAACATTTAACCACACCTTGGAGCGCTTCTCTCCGCCATCTCCTCCGTGTGTTGCTGCATGGAGCAGCTCCGTGTGTGTAAACTGCCCCGCCCCCTCGCACACTGACGGGAGAGAGATCTAGTCTGGATCGGAAAGATCGAAAATACACCGACCATATACGCATTTGTTTGTCTTTTTGCATGTTAGAAACGAGTTGGCGACACTAAGACTGCGAGATAATGTTTGTGTAGCAATAATACATGACCTTTCTCTTTCTCAACTCGATACTCGGAGGGAAGTCGCTGTCATATGCCTTGTGAACACTCCGATAATGCCTCTCCACGTTACTTTTCTTTGGCAGAGCGACGCTTGCTTTACAAATAAGGCAAATAACCTTTGAATGTGACATCACAAACAAATATTCTTCCTCCCATTCTGGGTGGAAGTGGTTTGTCTTTAGCTTCTTGCTCGGTCCCGCACACATTTTGTTGTTTGTCTCTTGTTTGTCTCTTTAACTTAATTTGAGTTGTCCCGGCACTTGACTGATTTTGTATCGCTTTGCATTCTGGGTTAACAGACTGGAAAGCGATAGGTCGCTTTTTCTGTCAATCAAGTAAACTCCTGAATTAAGTGGCAGGGAGACCAAGGGAGGAGGGATCAAAACCTGTTTTGTCTATTTTAACGGAGCTGGATTTTTTTTTTATGAATGACTCGTGATCTACCAGCATTGCCCCCGCGGTCGACGTAATGGGCACCTCTGACTTATGGCGCGTTTCCACTGCAGTGGGTAGCTCACTTTAAGCGTGCCGAGCCGTGCGGGGCCCGTTTTTGGTTGCGTTTCCATTTGGCCTAGTTTTGGCCCGGGGCTACTTTTTCACCTTTTTTCTGGCCCGACTAATGGCGCGTTTCCACTGCAGGCCTCGCTCGGCCTCGCTCGGTTTGGTTAGGCCTTATTAGGCCCGGCTCACTTTAATGCTGCGCTTCCATTACAGTTTAGGAACTGGGGCAGTTACTATAGTAACGCAGTGTAGGCGGAGCCGTGACGTCATCTTCAATGAGAGCCCCAGAAAAACAACATAGCCGTTAGCTCTTAGCACTCAGAGCTCACAGCTCTTCATATCTGTTCAGAAACTTGACAAAAGTTAAACAAGTACAAACCACAGACTGCCTGTGTCATGGCGAATACAGTCGCTGGTTTATTTATGTCTGTATAGGCCGTTGTTGTGAGTGTGGACGGTCGGAGCATATATAACGTTAGCTTAGCCAAGCTCCATTTAGAAAACAAGCATTTTAAAAGGTTCTTCGCCTGCCGTCTGTCTGCAGACTTGTCAAAGCATTAATTCATGGTTTTTACTAACCGGTATCAGTATGTTGTTACTTCGGCATCATTTTTAAACGTGTATTACAATTAATTCACGGTCAAATATGTTCATCTTGTTGTAGTTGTAGCCCCCTTGCCAGCGATTCTCTCTCTAGTTTAGCATACTCAGCCCGACTCAGCCTGGTTGTTCCTGGCCCTAGAACCACGATTTAGTCGGGCCAGAAAAAAGGTGAAAAAGTAGCCCCGGGCCAAAACTAGGCCAAGTGGAAACGCAACCAAAAACGGGCCCCGCACGGCTCGGCACGCTTAAAGCGAGCTACCCACTGCAGTGGAAACGCGCCATTAGGCTAGCTTAGCAGGTTATATGTTTCACCCTGCTAACAGCCTTTATACTAAGCTAGGTTAACCCTGTCCGGAGCTTAGCTCTGTAACTAACACACACACAAGCTAGACATTTGACACTGCAGACATCTTGACTTGCCGCTGAATAGAGTGCCACAGTGACGCATCCTAAAACCCGGAAGTAAGCTGCGCATGGGTTCCCTCGACAAAAAAGCAATGCAATTTCTCCATAGAATTTTGGAAAATAGCTTGAAATAAGGTCTGTGGTTGACACACATTTAAGAGACGGACCACGCTTTGTTCAGTCGGATAATCTCCACATGTCTACCCTACTTTTATAATTTTTGAATCATAAATCGAATCGATAGATTTATGATCGATAGGTTTATGATTAGAAAATTAAAAAACCTCTATGGAGTTAAGTCTATTCATTTAATGCTTTACCTCTGTGTTACGTACCATGACAAGTTGAAATGTCTCCTGTGAAGGAGGCTTGTGGATATCAATCTTCTCGTTTCAATCAAAGAAAGAAATACAAATTTTTAAAGCAACTATTTCTTGAAGTACTCTGAAATGCAACATTGTTTGGATCTAAACCTGTGTTGTTTTGCAAATTGTATACAAAATGGTGCTGCGTTGGACAAAAGCTTTCATCAATGGAATTTGTCAAATCTAAATGTGTTTTTTAACTTTGAATCTTAACTGTTTTTCATTGACATGTTTCTGTGCCTTTTTTCTCTCAGCAACACCACCATTTCCTACGAGGCAGTACCTGCTGTGGGAGCCGATGGAACCAACATCATGAAACTGATTCCTGTACAAACGGTCAACAGACAGTTTTTCCAATCTCCAACAAGCCAACCTGAAACAGATCCTACACCACAGAGAGCTGAAGCCATGAACATTTCATCAGAACCTGTCCAGATGTTTAAAACAAATGTGGAACCTACTAACTCAGTGAACAAGTATTTATCCCAGCAACAGAATACAAGGTTAAGGACCATAGCTCCAAGTGCAACACCTGCAGCTAACATTGGGATGTCCGGAAGAGTTCCGAGTCATCTCCCAGTCACAGTGAAATCTCTAGAACTCCCTAGAGGACAGTGCCCACAGACTCCCTCTAACACACAAGTCCAAACAGTCCCAGCACCTGAACTACCTAAGAAACAGATTTTGACTTTGTCTGCCAACTCCTCTCCGAGTACAGGCTTGTTCAACGGGTTAACTTTAAGCTGTTTCAATCAAGAGTTTGATCAAAAGATGGATTCTGCATTTAACACGCTCCAGTTTATTTGCAAGGTGGCAGGTAAACATTCATTAAGACCTCGATTAAAAGATTCACCACATTTAACATTAATTCCAAAGGGTTCACAAAAGCCCAACAGCCCCATGAAGTGGGTAGTTGGTGAAGAGGATGGCTCAATAGTTCCAACTCCTGATCCAATTAATTCTGTAACTTCAGAGGTCCTTCGAATTGTTGCAGAGAGAGAAAATGCTAAAAAGCTCTGTGACGGCATTACCAAACCCAGTCATACTCTTGAGCCTGTTCCTTCTCTTGTTGCATCAGAGATTATTCGAGTTGCTGCAGAGAGAGAAAATGCTGAAAAACTCTGCCAAGTCATGACCAAACCGGGTCCAACTCTCGAGCCTGTGCCATATTTTGTTTCTTCAGAGATTCTTCGAGTTGCTGCAGAAAAAGAAAAGGCAAGCAAGCAATGTGATGTCATTTCAAAACCACTTTCTGGGTCGAGTCCAGGCACAAGCGTACACAGACAGAATCACAACTTGGTCATCAAAAACAGAGAGGATGCACCACAGCAAAAGAAGGTAGATATATTTAACATTCCTCGTATGGCAGTGCCTACAAGAAACAGTGGGGAAGTAGGGAGAAATCCGAGTCAGATTCCAGTCACAGTGACATTTCCAGCACTGGGAACAACCGCGAGAAACGGTGAGAAGTTAGGGAAAACCCCCAGTCAGCACCCAATCACAGTGAAATCTACAGCACTACCCAGAGGACATGGCCTTCGGAGTCCCCCTGATACAGAAGTCGGACCAGTCCTAGTATCTGTAGTACCACCGGCTATCAAGAAACATGTTCCTACTTCATCAGCCAACTCCCGTCCAAGTTCAGGCTTACCCAATGTTGTCAATTTGTCCCCTACCACAAGTGTCAACCAAGGAGTTAATTCACAAAGTGATTCTACACTTGAAATACGCAAGTTTATTTGCAACAATTCCCCAAAAAAATCATCTGGACCTCCATCAAAAGTTTCAAAACCACACTTAAGATTGATTCAAAGGGTTTCAAAAAGGCCCAACAGCCCCATGAAGTGGGTTGTTGATGATGATGATGATGATGATGATGGCGGCGGCCCAACAGCTCCAACTCTTGATCCCATTGATTCTTCCGTTGCTTCAGAGATTTTCCGAGTTGTTGCGGAGAGAGAAAACCTTGGAAAGCACTGCGACGTCATCCCAAAACCAGAATCTGGGTCAAGTCAGGGCAAAAATGTTCAAGGACCGGAAACCGTAATCGTTTGTGATGGTAAAGTGTTTTTAGTGCCAAAACATTGCAGCTTGCAATTTGAAACTGGGAAAAGTAACTGGCCCTTGGCAGAAAGCAAAGCATATGAATTCAACAAAACTATCGGACCTTCTTGCCAACAATCAGTGAAGGCATCTGCTCTTCAGAAAAGGGGGGGCCTCCAAATAATCCCTCAAGATGAGTCATGCGAAGTGATTGACCTGTGTGATGATGGCGCTCACAAGGACTCGTCTCAACCATCAGTTCATTTGCCAGGAGTCACTCATCCATTCACCTCCGACAGCAGCAGTGGAATATGCTGTCAAATAGAAAAGGATACCGACAAAATTGAGGTGAGGACAATTCTATTGCTACATTACATTTTATACCCCATAGTGTTACAACAGGATTCCATCACATTTGACTGCACAGTTACAATGGAGCAGGCTTATGCATATGAAAAGCCAGTCGGCCAAAAACCTGTAGTTTTCAATGCCTCATCTCCTCCAAGATATTTACCTCTGTACACGCTATATTTTTCAATAAGGTAAACAAATACGGTGCCCCACATTCATTTATGTTGATGAACAAGGGAACATTTCCTATTAATACGACATGTTCTATTCCTGAGGACTTGCAGTTCAGGGTTCACCTTTTTAACTTAGAGAATGTGCTCAATCTACAAACAGAAAGACTCAAAGCACAAATGGAGAAGTTGCGATTTTTAGCTAATTCAAAACAACTTCAAACTAACCATCAAGACCATAAGCTCATTAGGAATATGTTATAAATAATAAAGGTAATAAGAAGTGTCATTTTATAATAGACCTTTATAGAAGCAGACTTCTTTTCGCTGATTATGAGAAAGAACGCAGGATTAAGACTTGCGCTTCACTTTGAATACCCTAAGGTTGCTACTTGATCAATAGGCTGAATACAGACTGAACTGTTTAAAGTCTATGATTCCTCTGATCAATGTTTATTGAGTACCTGCAACCAAAAAGTGACATGTGTTTTTTTCATGGCTAACTGCAGGGACATTTTGTTTACCAGAAACGTAATGTGAGAATACCTTCAGGTGTTACACGTGGAAACCTGCGATTGGCTGACAACTACTTAAAAACATACCAATGCCTAACATGTTGTCATGTGTGTTCATTGTATTACATTCAATTGCAGTACAGTAAAGAAATGACAAACAAGGTTTGAGTTCATTTAGAAAAAGTGTAACAATTAAAAGACCAAGAAATATTATAGGCAGAGATATCACAAATAACACATTTGCATTTAAGGGGCTTTACAATAGAACCGACAAGAAACAACTCCACTAAGTAATCTCAAAACCACAAATGCATGTTTTTTACATTTCTGTTTGTGTACAGATTGAGCAGTCTGATACAAAAGGTGAATCAGTTAGTTTGAGAAGTCTTGGTAGTTGTATTTAATGTTTTAGACAGAACCAGGCTAACGGTTTCCCCCTGCTCCCAGTCTGTATGCCAGCCTAATAACGTCCTGACTCCAGCTGTGTAACTTCAGCTGCATCCACGTCATACGCCTTTTGCTTTTTGCTCACGGTGGGCCTTACGGTAAAAGTTATGTTTTGTTACCATGGTCACGTCCACTGGTTCTGATGCTAAATACAGCTGTCATCTGATTGGTCCAGACTAATATCTCAACAAATATTGGATGGATTATTATGCAGATGTTTTGTGAAGAATAACTTGTTGATCCGCCGACTCATTTGATTAGGTTTGGAACCAAAAGGTCCTCAAACACTGTGACATTCCCATCAACCTCATCTGTACCTTGTGTTTGGTGCTAAGTAAGAAATATCTCATTACAAAAAGATGCTGATCCTTTAACATTATTGCTAAACATCCGCATTTTTTATTTTGAGCATGCTGACAAAGCGTCTATGCCCAAGAACCGCTGTTGTAGAGACGCTAATATAACTTGTATTCTTCTTTTATGTATTGTTTGAATTGAAAGAGTTTATTTTTCTTCTCACAGTGCTCTGTGAGTCCTGCTACAAGTTGGACATCTACGCTGGCAGCGGAATCCTGTAAAATGGCCGATCCTCTGCTGAGACACATGTTTGGAATAACAGCCGATGTGAAAATTAGCCTGCCGAGAATTGACAAAGACTCGTCTGCAAAACTTCTACTGAGTGAGTCCATAAAGTCGGTGGAGGATAATCAGGAACAAGCGAGCGGGTTGCAACAGGAAGATGTTTCTTTACAGGACCTTTACAGTCTACAAGACAGTAACAGCTGCAATGGCACCGTCAATGTCCCAACAGGGAAAGTACTGAAAACTGAACCAGAGGATTCTGACAGTCCAACTCCTCTCTATGCGTTTTACTATTCAGGTAGCACTCTGGACAAGGGAACATCATGTCATATTAAAAGTGAGCCAGAATGTGGATATGTGGAACCCATAGATGAAGATTTCCTCAGCACAGATGAAAGCAACATCCCCAACTCACGGGACATCGCTGGCCGGCCACAGACTCCGACTTGTGTGGATCCGAACACAAACACGGGGAGAATGGGAAGAAAAAGGAAGCGCACGATGTGTCCTTGTTGCGTCCCTGCGGGGGGGCACGGTGCAAGGTCCCAAGAAGAGCCCAAGAAGTGGGCATGGGAGACGGCGCAGACGAGTAGAAAAGGGGGAAGAACCAAATTTGCTAAAAAAGTTGGGAAAACATCTGGAAAGATCAACTGTCAAAAAGTGAAGGAGTGTAAGGCTGCTGAGGGTCTAGTGAGTGACAGTGAGACCACTGTCACTGAAGTAGTCAAACTACACGAACAGATCCAAAGACTCAAAGAGCTACTGCACGAGAAAGAGGACGCTTTAAAACTGATGACAAGCAGCGTGGGCGGGGATCCAACAATTTGAACTCTAATATTCTAGGAAACGTTTTTTATTATTAGAATAGAATATGTTGTTCTCCCATTTATGTTTGTTGGAGTTAGCAACTGTAAAAGCACATCTAATGTGAGAAATTGATAAATGAATAAGAAATGCTTTAGTAAACACTGTCAGTATGGACTTTATAGTTGGTAACTAAAAAGCTATTTGCTTACTCATTAAGTAAAAAAAAAAATGCTTAAATGTAATATTTCCTAAATGGACTAATACATTATTAATATGTTATAAGGGAACTTGTACAAATAAATGACCTTGTTGAAGTGACTCATGTGAACACTTAATCCATGAATGTTTGGATGGAGTTACAGTTTGACTTGTGTTTTTAGCAGCATTTGGGGTGAGGTTATCCTGGTCAGCAGGATTCAGGTGTTGCAGCAGCACGAGGACCAAAGTAATCACTGAAAGAGAAGGGACATTTATTGGAAATATATAAGATTAAAGGAAATAGAAACTATATAAGACTAATTTAATTTGGAGTAACAAGGCAAGCATTGTATCTATCAATCTACTGTTAACATTTCAAGTGGTGGAAAAGTACTCCTTTAATTGTGTAAAAGTAGAAATACTATGTTCTTGAAATATACTCAATGTATACTTTGTGTAATAAAAGTACTCAGAATGGCTCTTTTTTCTTTTCTTTTTTTAAAACAATATTTCAGAATATTTGTTTATAAGCAGTAGCAAAAACATGTCCAATTATTTGGAAGTTGTAGTGTGTAAATGTTGAGCCATTTGTAGAAAACAAATGTAGAGTAAAAGTACAATTGTCTCAAAAGTGTAATGGAATATAAGAATATGTAGCATTAAATGAGTAAATGCACTTTGTTACATTCCAACAATGGTTATCGAAATACAATGAATTGTTCTTCAACTCAAAGTGAAAACAAAATCAAATGCTCCTTCGCAGCCTTTTGCAATATTATGAGATTACTTGAGAATACTCTTTCCAAACCAGAAGTAAGACTTAAAGCTGTAAAGACCTCCAGAATAAAAAATATATAATTGAAGTACTATAGCTTCAGTACTTCAATTATTTCATAATGACATACCCAGTAATGGATTGTGTAACTGGTTCCAAAGAAAATATGAAAATGTTATATATATATCTTTCTGTTTTGGTGGTCACACCACACCGTGCACATGCATGCGTGAGTCATGGTGAGATATCTGGATTAAGAGGTTGCTTTTTCTTTGCACAGCATGAAAGAAAGGCCAAATGAATGGGCTGTAATTTTAGTTTTTTTAAGCAGAGGTTGAGTTCAATCATTTGTACGACCCTCGGAGGATGTTGTAAAAATTAAAAGGAAAAAGGTTCCCCACCCCTGCTGTAAATAATAATAAAAACCCTTGATTTATAACTTAACATCTCTGTCTCCTATTGATCTGAGTATATTATAAAGAACAGTTAATTGAAGCATTATAGCACAGGCCTTTGTCAGATGGTATATTACGCTGTTTTTTTTCTGCTTCGAATAGTTCTCTCTTTTCACCATACCTGTGTTTGCATCACTGTAACCAATGAGCACCTGCATGTGTGTGAGAATGGCCCTGACTCCATTTCAGCCCAGATTTACAAACTCCTGGCAGGACAAGCTAGAGCTCAATTCTCACACTGAATTAAAACAAAGTGAGTGAGGGACTGCAATATAAGAGGGAAAGAAAGAGAAACTTTAAAACTGTTCAATTGTTATGATGTAAAGACTGATATTGTTCTATAATCGGCTGAAACTGTTAAGTCATGATGTGAAACGGTTAACAAAGAAAAAGGGAAACTCAAGCTGCTGCTGCACTTTATTTTATTTATCTAAAATTAAGCACTTTTGAGATGCACACATTTTCAAAAGCTATTTTATTTATTTTCTCTATTTTATTTTTAAATGCAGCCCGAGAGGAACATTACACATATCCACAGTATTTACTGTATATCTGTATAGTGCAATAAATATTGTTGTTTTTGAATTGTACTTTCTTTATTTGATTGGCAGTCAGTTGTTGATTACATGCAGACGTTGATAAAGCTACAGGTACTTCAATATCACACTAATTCATGAAGCAACTTAGACATGTTGATGTTCCGGACCTTTGCAAGGGGACATTTTCTCTAACTGGACCTCGTTGAATTTGAGTTGAATACCCCTGGTGTAGAGTCAAAATAATAACAAATTAAAGGTAAAAGAGCGAGTTGGTGAACGTTGGAGTCAGTCTATCTCTTCAATGTGACATTTTCCCATAAATACAAATATATCATAATCATACTAATCATATCCAGTTTTTTTAAATAAGAAACCCACTGAATAGTACAAAAAGAAAGAAGCTGGTACACATAGTGGAGCATAAAGAGACAAGGATGTGTAAATAGAGAAGGTGGGAAAAGTACTAATATCTTGTACTATAGGAAAAGTAGAAGTGTAGGAATACTCTCTTACAATTCAAATGCATTCAAAAATGTTACTCAAGTAAAAGTAGAAAAGTATTCTCATCAAAATATAGTGAAAGTAGTGACAGTAAAAGTAGTTGTTGTGCAGATTGGTCCATTTCAGAATAATATATATGATATGTTTTACAGTATAATGATTGATCATGAAAGTGTTCTCAGAGCTGGTAAAGGTGCAGCTAGTTTGAATGACTTTGTATACTGCAGGGTAGCTGGTGGATTTACTCCAGGAGGAACTAAAGTCTGATTTAACACTTGATTAGATTTCACATCATTCATCCACATCTGTGAAGTATAAAGTAAAGTAAAGTAGTGGGGTATAAGTAAAAATTACAGAAAATGGAAATACTCAAGTAAAGTATCTCAAAATCGTAGTTAAAGGTATAAGTAAGAATGGAGAAAGCAGCTCGAGTGCGCTAGAATTCGAAAGTACACAAACGAAACAAATCTGCCACTTCCTTACAGAGCCCCTACTCCAACACACACAAACGCGCACATGACCAATGAGGGCACGAGATACATTTGTGCCCAGATGGAAGGCTGACAGGCAGGTAGGCCATCCAGTTACTTTAGCCGGGCCGGCTCAGATGATTGGTCGTGCTTTTTACAGCGCTACGGCTTCCAGAGATGAAATGTTTGTATATATTTATTGTCAAAGCACTTAAGATATTCATTGCTATCAGGATGTTAAGAGCATTCCATGGAATATAACAACAAGTGTTTCTGAAGTGAATTACCTACCCCACCTTTAAGTACAGTACTTGAGTACATGTACTTAGTTGGAAAGCATTCCAAGAAAGAGAGGAAGAAGCTGCAGATAAAAATCAGAGCACTAAATAACGCCTTAGCAGCAGAAAAAAGGAAAAAGAGAGATATAAAAAAAGTGTTAATGAGGTCAGGGTCTCCAGCAACAAAAGCTAGATATCTGAGGCCAAGAAGCAGTCCAAATGCAAGGAAACCCTGTTCCATGACGCATTGATTGAAGATCTACAAAGTCATATTGAACAAGCTGGTAATAGTCAGGAAGAAAGACTAATCATCAAACCTGATGACAGGGAGGATTGTCAACAAATACAGGTTGCAGAAATATGCCCAAAGTACCTTTGGTTTTACCCAAAGGCGATGGAAAACAGTAGGAGGTAATCCATACTCTTTCGCAAGGAAGAAATGTGTCCGCATGGAAGAAGAATATAAAAACAAAATAAGAGCCTTTTACACTAGAGATGATGTGAGCCGTATAACAACAGGAACAAAGCAGACTTTAACACATGCCAAGGTCAAGATGCAAAAAAGATTGCTCATGGACACCTTGCACAACCTGCACAAAAAGTACTTGGCAGAGAACTCCAGGAAATCAGTTTCCTATTCTCTGTTTTGCAGACTTAGGCCCTACTGGGTTGTGCACCCATCACTTTCAGATAGGGAAACATGCTTGTGCAAACTGCATGAGAACTTAAGCTTTGCAGCCTGAAGTTGCTCATCACCCCTGAACTAGAGACATTGATGGCACAGATCTGTTGTGACAAAACTAGAAAGAAGTGTATGTACAATGACTGTGTGGACTGCAAAGAGAAAGACTTCCCATTTCTCGGGGTATATGAGGCTTGCGCCAGGGTGGCATGTATGCAGTGGGTCACAGAGGACACGAAAGGACAAGACAAGAACAATATTCAAACAACATTCAAGAAGACCGTAAAGAAAATGGTCGAGATGACACTCAATGACCTCATCAACCTCTTCACTACCATGCTTGTGAAATGTAAACGCCATACATTCAACATCCGACAACAGTACAAATATTGCAGAGAACTGAAGAGGAATATGTCAGAGAACGAATGTATCATACATGTTGACTTCTCTTAGAATTATACATGTAAATATGCATCAGAGATCCAGGCAGTGCACGTTGGTGCATCTCATGAGCAAGCGACACTACACACTGGACTTTTATCTGTAGGATCAAATGCTGAGCCTTTGTGCTTCAGTACCATCTCATCATCACGACTGAAGGGTCCCCCAGCCATATGGGAACATCTAAGCCCTATGTTGTCCTACATTAGGGATGTCTTCCCAGCTGTCACAGTGGTCCATTTTCTCAGCGACGGACCTTGTACACAGTACCGCCAGAAGGGGAACTTTGACCTCTTTACCTCCCTACTCCACAAAAAAGGATTCCAAGCTGGGACATGGAATTTCTTTGAGGCCAGCCATGGCAAAGGGGCACCGGATGGTGTGGGAGGGGTTTTGAAAAGGAGTGCAGACCGTTTGGTGAGCCATGGCTGTGACATTAACAATGCAATGGGTCTGTTTGAAGCCTTGGTAAACACAGGCACCACTATTAAACTGTTCTATGTACCTGAAGAGTCCATTGACATGGCAATAAAGAACATGCCAGAAAGCATCCCCCAAGTCCCCTCAACAATGAGAGTACACCAGATTCTCACAACCTCTCCTGGACAGATGTTGTACCGGGATGTGAGCTGTATGTGCACTGTAGACAAGATTTACCATTGCACATGCTATAACACAAAGGCATTCAGCTTCAACAAACCAACGACCACACCAGCAATAGAAGAGATAACATGGGGTCCAGATGTTATACAAAAGTGGTGTGTAATAAAATATGACAGTGACTTCTATCCCAGGATAGATTGATGAGGTTCAAGTGCAAGTGACATGCATGCACAGCACAGCGCTGGAGTAACAGGTTCTTTTGGCCTGCAAGAGAAGACATGATCTGGTACCTATTTGAGGATGTCATTTGTTTCATTCAACCGCCTCAGCCTGTGACCAGCTGTCATCATGAGATAAAAAAGAAGTTTGGGCCAAATTGGCAAAATAGAAGATGAAATGTTTTTTCCTCGTACTTGTCATTAGCTCCAATTGAAATAATGACATGCATGCAGTGTGTTTTGGTTTTGTTCGCTTTCAAAAACAAAATGAAATTGTATTGAACTGTTAAATGACTTAATTGAAAAACATTTTTTAAGCTGACAATTAATCAATTATTAAATGAAATGAATTGCAGATTACCAACGTTATGTTGTAATAAATGTGTTTATTAAAACAATGCTTCGAGCAGTTATCAATACATTTCTATAAAATCTTATGTGTGTCCTTAAATGATTATTACCACATCAGTCTAATATTGAATCATGATAATCATTTTAAAAAGGAAAACTTACCAAAACAAGATTTAAAAAATACAAACATACATTTTATGAATCAATTCAATCTATTAAGTCAACCCTGTGTGACAGGACTGACCCTGTGTGACAGGGTCAGTCCTGTCACGACAGGGTCAGTCTGTCACACAGGAAATTATAATACAGAAATTGACTATTTATTTATTTTTTAAGTGAAATAACCTCTACAATTGTGAGCTTGGAGGTGGGGGGTCATATCCACATCAGCTGTTTAGAAAAGTAATTGGTGTAAAAGTATTTTCTTTACAACAATATGACTACCTGGTGATTATTCTTTCCTGACCGTCCACTACAGTTAACTGATAGGTTGCTAAGAATTCTTAAAAGGATTAAAAAAACATTTCAGATACAATCAGGGACATGTGATCAATGGGAACATTTTATTTGTATTAAAAAAATATATTAGGAAACCATTCTACCGTACTCACATGTGTCTGTGACAGGGCCTGACATCTTAAGGGTTTGATTCAATAATAAAACCATGCTGAGATGGGACAATATGTGTTCCTAACAGTTTAACATGTTCTCCATATGACCGGTTATTGAAATTGAAAGAAATAATTTTTCTTCAGTATATTTAGAAATATACGTTTCTGGTAGAATGACTCTCCCATCTCTGGTAAATAAACAGCAGTTAGTTCAATTTAGCCTTAGCAACTTTACAAATTGATTAAAAAATAACTCGTGCTGTTTTTACTATGGTAGATTAAAATGTCATTTATCTAGGATTCCAGGCTTGATCAAATGTTCTTTGATCTAAATTATCTGGTTACAAATGAATCCAACGACATCATTTAGGTATTTCACATTTATTTTATAAGATTGCAATATTTCAATACAAAATGAGATACATGTATTAGCCTGTCTACAGATAAAAAAGCCATCCATTTGCTTCTAGCTTGGTTGTTAAACTAGATGTAATAACTGGAATGGATGTATATACAAGTTCCATAAAAAGGTTTAAACATTTAGTATGCTGCATTTGTAAGACACATTTTGACATATAAACACATTTTTGATGATCATGTTTGGTATATGATGAGGGAGGACAGGTTTCTCTTTCTCAATGTGCAGACTGTGTGAATGTGGAGTGTAAACCCTGCCAATCATCAAAGGCTACCTGGACCATTGTTGGTAGGATCTCTTCTCAGTCCCTGCAGGGGAGAGTCATGTCGGTGCAAAGTCAGATCAAAAACATCTCACAGAAAGTATCTCACATTAATGCCAAATCAAATAATATAAAGAACACTATTGTTTTATAAAGTAATATTTCTTATACCTTTAATATAAACACTATGAGCTGCTCTGTGCCAGCATGTTTTCAATGAGATCAACAACTAACTTTACAGCAAAGCATATTTAAAAATGAGTGCAATTTGCTTCATAACCTGATTGTTTGTTTTTTTGTGAACAATCGTGTCAAAATGCTCAGTCCTTGTTTGCCAGCATATCATCCAGAATACGCTCACACATGTACAGGCAGCGAGGCACATGGAAGAACCCTGGAGAGGAGAGGAGAAACATGATCTTACTTAACTGACAAAGCAGGAAACGTTCACTGGAAATGAGTTTGTGATGATGTGCGTGGTAAGACTGTATGCATCACGGAAGTGCATTAACATGTGGTTTGAAAAATAGACGAATAAAGACAGACTTTTTTGTCAACTCAAAGAATGAGGTTGACAATATGATACACACTATCAAGGACGGAGACTTAATTAGAAAATAGCTGACAGAATAACATCTGGAGCTCAGACTCCACATATGCAGTATTCCTAAAAACGTTAAAGTCTGAAAATGACTCCTAACGCTTTCAGGGGTATTTACTTCTGTTTGAAACATAAATGATGTTCTTACCTTTAAAGGGGCCTCCTTTAAAATCCAGTGCCACTTTCCCTTCTTGTGTCAAATAGCCGAACCACTCGCCTTTCTGAGCATCAGGAAACTGTCCAGAATCAGGCACACATATAGTTTATCAGCAGATCATACAAATACATCGGTTTTATTTAAAACACTGCAAATCTGTCTTGAGTCCTCCATATAAAGTACATACAGTATGATCTTTGGATGTCAAGTTATTTATTTACATTACTGGCATGCCTTTTCTGTAAATGTTAATCTTCAAATTACACAACTGACACGGCCCAACTGCTACTGTGTACTGTGCGTATCACAGAAAAGGCGCATACGTTGAGTATTGAACCACAAACAAAGCAGAATGAAGTCTTAGGGTCTGTTACAGAATCCCATTTCTTTAGCTGACATTCATTATTATTGTAGCCCTATAATAAGTTAATATACCATGATACAACCCAAAAGTACTCTGACCTCTGGTGTGTAATACTTTGGCTGCAGTGTGAACTCACATGCTTGAAGGTGTATTCAAAGACTTCAGAGAACCTGTGCAGGAGTGCGGGCTCCCTGGTGTGACTGTAGGCCATCAGGAAGGCGATGAGGGCCTCACAGTGGGGCCACCACAGCTTCATATTCCATTCCAACTGAAAACCAACACAGCGGCATCAGACAGCCTGCTCTCATACATTTGATTCAACTCAAGAAATCAACCAGATGCTAACAATAAGTACTATTACAAGCAAAACACTACAATATTCACTCCCCAACCTCCATAGTCCTGTATTTGTCTTTTCGATGGGGGGCAGGGATCTTTAGGTTTACACTATATGCCACATAATACTGGCATGCATCATCGGAAACCTGGGAACATAAAGATTCATTTAGGATGACGATCGGCATTGCAATATGTTCTGGACATACATTGGTAAAAATATGATTTAATAATTTCAATAAAATGTGCATAAGGGCTCAGAACATTATGGTAGAAGTGTAAGATACCAATGCTAAATAAGAAAGGTCACAAACACCTTCAAAATGACACAACTAAGTTACATGGAACACATGTTTGTGCAGTTCTGACACTGGTTAGGGACCCCAGTATGTAGACATTTTTTTTAGTACTTGTACTGCATTATATATGCAGAATACTACATGTGATTCACATACTGCAGTAGGCATGTTTTTAGACGTGACTGAGGTGATGGATATCTATAAAAGCTATTTTCATTCAAACATCTTGAGGTGGCAAATCAGAGTTTAATAGACTGGTGGAAAACGTCTTCAGGTATAGATGAGTGATTATTCACCTGTGTGGGGCAGTGACCGTCAACATCCAGGAAGTAGAAGAGGCCGCCATGCTCTTTATCCCAGCCGTTCTGATAGGGGAGCTCCATGAACTTGTCGATGGCCGTCCTCTGGAGAGCCTCGTCCTTCTGCTGGGCGCTGACCTGGAGCAGGAACCAGCCGGCCTCCAGGGCGTGGCCTGAGCCAGGGTGTGGGGGAGAGAAACAGAAAATGTTGAGGTCAGGAAAAGATCTCAACCCAAGCTCCCCTCGCCTTCACTGGCAGAGCTGGAAGTATACAGCCTGTGGTTCACCTGGGTTCTGCAGCCGGCCCTGGCACCCCGGCAGCTCTGCTCCATCCACAGACACATTCTCTAAAATAGCTGTGCCGCCTCTCTGTTAGTTACAGGAGTAGGACAAATATAGTTGTTTAAATAATAATAACTTGCAGTCCTGTAAAATAGAGTCAAAGTGAAGTAAGTAGTGAGAATGAGAATAACAACAAGCTCTACAATATGACGTTACTCGGCAGTATGTTTTGACTTACATGGATGTTTGCTTATCACCGTTTTGTTGATTTTAAAGATAAAATGTTTGTTACTTTGCCAAAAATACAGTTTTTTAGCTGCATTTCGAGTTTATCTTTAGCAGAGCTAAACAGAGCTGTGCTTGAAGTAGCATATTAGGCATCTATGATCTGAGAAGAGCTAATAATTGTACAAAACATAATGAGTATACAGATGAACAGTGGAGAATTGGCCTAGCTACAGCAGTGTACTTTTTGTCAGTGTTATATATATATGTTATTGCTATGACTATGTCAAACTAGTATTTTAAACTGAGCGATGGTAATGTCAAATCAATGGGGTTTTGGGAACAAGTTCACTTGAAAAAGTGAAAGGAAAGTAGGCTGGGTATTTCTTTGGGGCTGTGAACTTTGTTTAAAATTCCCATATGTCCAGAGACTGCAGGCAGAGCAAAGGAAACCACTGTGAGTACGCACATGGACTTTACACTTGTATATATCTTAAATGTTTGACATGACATGTTCAAGTTTAAAATGAACACATTGTTTTGTTTATTTGTTATGATAGATCCATATTGATTTGTTCGTATGTTATGAGAAAAGGGGAGCAATTTATATCTGTAGATTCATAAATAATGAAAGTAATTGACAACCTTATTGAGATTATGTTTCAGTTGATAAACCTGACCTGTAATATATTGAGAATGTTCTTTTGTTTATAAAAATATCATCCACAGTACTTCCATGTGTTATGGTCCACCATCCAGCAGCTAGACTGCAATCAAATGTTAAACAGCATTTTGCGCCCAGTATTTGAATGTGCACACCACCCTAGTCTATCATTTTTTCCAGAAGTGTAAACTTGTTCATGATTGATCATTACAATCATTGGATCTGCTAGCCTCCAGAGTCAAAGCACTTCTGTGCCAATATGTAGTTCAGCATCTGGTGAACTTTGACATCAAATGTGTTGGCGTGGAAAGTTGTTAGCAGTTAGCTCACCAGCTAAGGTAGTTTCCCAACAGCCCTGTGGTAGTCACTACTTGACTAAGTCTAGCAGCACTTTTCTGTGCTACTCTCTTGTCTAACTTTGCCCTAAATGCTTTAAATCCAAGTGCTTGAGACAAGAGTCACACACTATTCATTGTGTTGGTATATGCTGATTTGGATGCTACACCACAAACTAACTCACTATATCTGAGGACATTTGAGCCACAGAGCATCAGTCATGCTGCATGTTCCACACCTGGATGTGTTGCAGAATCTGCTGCACACACCAGCTGGCCAGCTCTGTGTACTTCTGAACGACCTCTGCCCCCCCGCCTTCAGTGAGCTGCTGCACCAGACACAACAGCATCATGGGAACTGCCATACTGTTGGTGGGGACGTCTCCAGGAAGCTGGGGCCGGCCCAGGCCTGCCGGGTCCTCCCGCACCCAGCTGATCAGCTGCTCCATCATCTGCTCAGCCTCCAGCTAGAAACACAACACAGAGACCGTCAGCGATGGTGCAATCATGTTGTTGGAAAGGTGCGGGAGAAAAGGATAAGCATGTTCAGGCAGGGTGACAGGGTACACAAAGTGAACTGTGTACGCAGGGTACAGAATGATAGCTAGTAATGCAACACATCAGCTGCTGACTCTCTTATGAGGCACTTCAAGTATGGATTTAAACTAATCTGGTGGCGACTCAGTAATGCAACATTTATCTATAGAAATCCAATAGAGTGGTGCAGGAATGAGTCCTAAAACCCAGAAATGACTTTTACCACTTCTGGTTCCCTCTTCATGAAGTTAACGATTTTGAACATGATTGTTGTCAGAAACCTGAAAAAGGTCTAAGGTTAAAACAAGCTGAAGAGGTTTTCATGTTTTGTGCTATGAAATAAAATACACTAGTGATCAGCCCATTGGTGAATGTCTGAAGCTTCTATGCGTTCTAAAAACAGTTGTTGCTAACAAGTAACTAACAGGACTACTAAACGTACAGTATTTCTTTTATAGCATTACCAAGCTTTTTACTTCTGGCAATTTGCAATCTAACAGTGGTGTGGAGATGATCCTGCTGAACAAAGCACATACGTGTCATAAACGTGTGTTGGCCACAGAGCTCATTTCTGCAATATAATGATATCCAATGGAAACATCTGATTTTTAGTGGGAGCCCCAATATGCTGACCTCCGGGTCGCCGTGCAGAAATACATCATCCCTGCACCGCTCTATAGTTACAACATCTATCTTCAGCCTATCAATGCAGGGACTTAAGTGATGCTTTTACTTTGTCCTGTCACCACCACGATGTGGAACATTTGGTTCAGCCATTGATGTTCCCAAGAGGACAATTTGAATGATTTCCAGACTTCCATCAAGCCCTACCATCAGTTAAAGAAGTTTCTATCCACATTCTATCCAATGAAGCAATTTCAATCTATATATCATTTAGTTTAATATTTATTTTGTACCTGCATGTCCTTGTCCCCAGTAACCCTGCTCAGTTCGTCCATGGCCAAAATGTAAAAGCACTCGCTGAAAATAGTCCTCTGAATCTTCACTGCTTTTCCGTCTCTAGTTAAGGAGAAGGCACACTTCCACTGGCCACTGCCGGCGCCGGGGACACGAGTGAACTTCCTCAGGAATGCTCCTCCTTAGAGACAAACAGAATATAGCTTATGATCCAACACATCATTATGAGCAATACGTATAGCCTTTATAAAAAGGTGTAGTTCCAAGCCACCTGCCTTAAGATATAGGGGGCAGTATTTCAATTCCTAAACTCATGTAATGTATGTCCAAAAGTTGGCATCTCAACATTCTCATCATTCAATTCTGGCATATCTCACACATTTGACCTTTAACATGTTGTAATCTAGACATAGGCTTAACAGGTGAATGTTTGCCAACGGGTGATTGGACAGGACATTTTAGAAAATGCTGCACATCTAGTTGAACAAGAAATTAAACAATCAACAGTTGGGATTTTTAGGTGCTAAATAGTGGAAATGTCCTAAATATATTGCTGCTGAATTTCATATTTTGATCTTAATGAACCCATACTTCATTGTGTGCATTTCCTACTTATAACAATGTACTGTTAAACTCTTTGAAAGCTTCATAGTGTCACAAATACACAGTGCTCCTGTTTCCAAGTTCCCATAAAGATGGCACCCTGCAGATCCATCCAACAGTGACGTCACGTTGGCACTGCTCTTCTTATGATTAGCAGAAAGCACACAGAAAACACCATCCCGACTGTCACTAATCACTTCGGTCAACAAAAGAACGCCACGCACAGATATACCCGTGAACAGATGTGTGGAACATGGAGGTCCCATTTAACTGAAGCTAATGTCTTAATGTGTCCTACATAAAACATACTGGGGTCTGTAACTCAGGTTGAACTGCGAACACATCATTTCTTCCATAGTCTTCTTTGAACAGTGTTTTTTTTGCATTCTCCAAGGACCACACACACACACACACACACACACACACACACACACACACACACACACACACACACACACACACACACACACAGCACACACACACACACAACACCACACACACACAGCACACACACACACACACACACACACACACACACACACACACACACACACACACACACACACACACACACATCACACACACACACACACTACACACACACACACACACACATCACACACACACACACACACACACACACACACCACACACACACACACACACACACACACACACAACACACCACACACACACACACACACACACACACACACACACCACACACACACACACACACACACACACACACACACCTGCTTTTGCTGCTTCGAGGATTTCAGGCCTATGGAAGCGATCCATTGTTCTGTACAGACGGCAATACATCCACACCTGTGAAAAAAGACAAAAGATTCATACAACATTATCTAATGGGTTTCTACTAACTGTTATTTTCATTGTCTGCCAATTATTTCCTCGAGTAATCCATTAGTATTTAGTCTGAACAATTTCAGAAAATAAAAAAATAGTAGCAGGAAAACTCCATATTCCAGAGGCAACGGCATTTTCTGACCGTGTCACAGGAACTAAAACTTTAAAGATTATTCAAATAGTTGAGGATCAATCGACCAATCTTTGGACTTCTTGTTTATGACACAATCTTACCTGTCTCCCCTGTAGCCAGACGTACTTCAGCTCATCATAAACCTCCCCATCCCTCCCCAAACAGGTGAAGAAGCCTCTGAAACACAACACACAGGTTAAAGGTCATCACAAGGACACACTGCATGCAAACAGACGTACACTGTTTTCATTTGAACAGCATTTCAGTGGAGATCCAATACCCATGCAAAGGGTCGTGAGAGTGTTGGAGCCAGAAGTCCACTGTGGTGTCCAGTTCTTTACGAATCCGCTCTCGAAACTCCTCCAGCTTCACTGCAGACATGGCTCCTTTAAGAGAACCAAGAAGACGTTTGTGATGAAGGAATGATGTTCTTCTGCCTTACTAAACAATACTTAACAAAACATTCAGGCTTTGAAGTCTTCTGGGTAAAGTGGAAAACTATTTAGAAAAGTAATTTGGAGATTTCCTTATTTCCAAGCAGGAACATCAGCTTCTGACTTTTTTTAGATGTTCTACAAGACTCCCAGGGGCTAACAGTATTTGTGAGCAACATCCTCCTCATCACCTCAGCTGATTGTCTAAATTAACTTGGCTATTGGAGTTAAGAAGTTTGTAGGACCACCACAATTCCACCATAATAACCCCTCCATTGATTCAGAGGAACTGGTACTGCATTGGATTTCTGCCTGTTTGCTGTGATAAATGGAAGTGGAAGGAATGTGTTGGTGGGTGTCAAAGTGTTTCTCCCCCGCCCCCCGCAGGCTGAAACCAGTACAGCCTTTTGTGCTAAAGTCGCAATAACAGCTACAAGAATGGTTAGGTTAGACTCGGTTGTCAGGAAGCGCAATCTCACAAAAGCTTTTGCAAAAATCTAACATCCTGGCACAGGTATCGATAAGTATGTTTGTTTTTGTTGTTGTTTTGGTGTTTTAAAGAGTTGCATGGGATTCACCAGTCACACTTTAACACAAACAGTAAGGTGCTATTTGTTTCAGGTCCATTCACTGGGGACTGATGCAACACTCTTTGCTTTTCTTTCAGTTTACTCTTCGTCTTGACCAACCACATTATTATACAATAAATGTACATATTTCCCAAACCGGTTAAGGATGATTGAACATGTAAGATTGTTCACAGTATGTATTTGTAAGGAACAAGTCAGATGTTGCAACAAAACCAACCCTGGGACAGTTGCAAATGACATCAGGGATTGTTGCAACATGTGTCAGACAAATACAATCATGCATTTAATAATGACCTAATCCAAAAGTAGTGCAAAGTCATCAGGTTACATGACTCTTATTTTGTGATACTCAGATTAGGTTACTGAAGACAGGTAACTAGTCATTGTAACGGATTACATTTACCCCCCCCCCCCCAAGTCAAAAGCACGCCAGAATATGAAAACAAAAAAATTAGGCATACTTAATGATGATGATCAAAGAGCATTTTAATGAATGAATACAGCTTCTAATTCACTTTGTCCCTGTTCATTATCTGTCATATCAAACACCGCGCAGCCCTGCTTTAAGAGATAGTGTGTTTTATTTACATTGTTGAGTAGTTCCCCGAAATGGAAGTCATATTAGCAGATCAACAGAACTATAAACAGACGATATGTTCCATTAATGCTCGAGGCGAAACGCACCGATCAGTTCAAGCGCGTCTTCTTGTTATGTCTAACATCTTTCGCCACCAAAGGTCAAATGCAAGCTAGACATTATTTATATTATAAAATCCGATCAAAATTCAATGTTTTTTGGCCTCGTCAAAAGCGATAAAAACAATGCATTTGCTGTCAGTCCACATGATGTTTCTCATGCAGGTTATCGGTCGGGTTCAGCGACAGAGAAGAGGCAAAGTGTGCCGGGAAAGAGTTCTTACCTTCGAGTAGTGAAGTACTGCTGTGGAGCATACAGTATAAAGTGTGTGTGTGTGTTTGTGTGTGTGAGAGTGTGTGCTCTCTGACGGTCATATGACCATCCCAGGAAGAGGAAGCGGATCTGCTGAATCTGCTGAATCTACATTAACCCTTTAACTGCCAGACCATGGTTGCGTTCCGATAATCCAAAAATTAGCTCCTAAATTCTAACCCTATCTCCTATTCCTTGACCTCTGAGTGAAACGTCACGGGGTTAAGGGATAGTGGATAGGAGAATTCAAAAGGACTTAGGAGAAGAGACTGCGGTACTTTAGAGAATCCGAATGCACTTTCACTATCCGACGTGTTTATGATGCGCCAGCGGACGTCATGAATGTGCGTCTGCTGCTGTGGGGAAACTATGGAAACTACAGTTTTCTATACAGTGGACTACAACATGGATTTTTAATAAGAACGAGGGACTACTGGGTTGCATTCCAATAGTCCATTTAGCTTAGGAACCTTCCTAACGGAGTGAAATGACCCGGAAGTACGTCACTGGCAGCCATGATAAGTGCCGTTGCAATTCTCCAAATGAAAGGAAAGGAGGTTTCAAACTTCCTTTATAACCTCCTTTAGCTTAGGAACCACTGGACCTCCCTAACCGAAAGGAGAGGAGAAAATGCTGCCCCACAATGCATTCCCAGATAGCAATTACCTTTGGGCCGGATCCGCACGAAAGCCTTTAGATCCGTTTGTAGCTCACACACGTTTTTTGACTGTGGGCCAGATCCGCACCACATAGAGCTTTCAGCCTAAACATTCCATTTGCAAGCAGTGCAGTATTTTTGCTGGTTTACAGATTTGACCCAGAGCCGTAATACGTATTTGAGCCGCAAGCGCCAGAAATCATTGGAATGGAACAAATCAAAAATAATATGGGGGTGTAACGTCTTCATATATTTCTTTGATTATTGAATTGAAACATTAAAATAAAATAAAATATAACATTGAAAACTAAAAACTTAACACAAAAATAGTCTCATACAGTAATGTGGCATTGTACGATTGAATTAAATATTAAACGATAGATTAATATTTGTTCATTACGCTAATGCCCACTATCCATAATCCAAGTAGCCTACTCTGAGTTTTCACAGCCAACGTTCGCAGGCGGCAAATTCACTCAAGAATGATCAACTCAAGTAAGTATAGCCAACATTTTTGTTCTAATTTTGTATTTGTGGTTGGTATATATATGTATTATATGTGTATGTATGCGTCGATTGATACGCAAGTGACTCAAAATGCTGAAGTTTTTTGTCAAAACTCTGTTAGTTGATCATAGACAGTTGCTAACGTTAGCGTTAGCCAGTGGATAGGATAGCCGAGCAAGTTACAGCCTTGAAGAGTTAATATTAATTTAACGGTGGAACAGTATGTCAAGTAAAAAGCAGGATTAACGTATAACTTTAGTATGTAACTTTTATTCGAATAGTGACGTTAATGTGAGTGGAGGCATTGTGCTTTTAAAGGCGGGCTCAGATGGCAGGAGAGTGGTTTGCTGAAGACTCAATTCGGCATTAAACTTGGTAACACACAAAAATAAGTTTAACTTGTAGTAAACTTAGACGTCGATATAAATGACTTATGCGAGTATGTTTCCATCCCCACATGCGTATTAAATCTTACGTTTCAATTTGTATATTTTATATTTCAAGTATTTGCTTTTTACTGATCTTGTTGGGCATAAGTTAGCCTGAATGATTCACAACATTACGTTAGTAAATCTTACTTAAAATGTATTTAATTAATTATGATAAATGAAATGAAATGTTAAGCCACTTATAGCGCTTCTTGATTCGTGTGTTGCTCGTTCACCAAAGTTAAATCTGTCCTGCCTTTTCTGTGTCATGGAGTCATCGATTTACTTCAGCTTTAAGATTCGCTGTCATGTGTGTCCTTGTAATGTGCTATATGAATAAAAGACTGAACATTTGGAGGGTGTGTTTGTGCATGTGGGGGTTGGGTAATCGAGAAAGGGCATTTGTTCAACTGTCAATTTTTACGTATCCTATGGATTCAGCATTTCTTAATATTGTTTGTGCATCAAAACTTGAATGTGGCACTAAATTTAGCAAACTTTCCGACATTGACCAAAAATGTGTGGCTTTATTTTAATTTTTGTTTAAAAAATGTGCTTAAATGTGTTTTTTTAATTAAACCATCACTTGTATTTCTTTTCCAGATGCTGCACACATGATGTCTACTGTTCAAATTAAGGTATAACTTCTTACACACTTAGGATTCAACATTGCAACAATAAATACATAAATAAATAAAAAATACATACTATATTTAACTACATAAATAAATAGTAATATTAATAAATACAGAGAGAGGGAGAGAGTGCGTGAGTAAGTGAGAGAGAAAGTGTGAAAGAGAGTCAACTTATTTAGTTAGTAGAATTAATTGTTGTTAAAAAAAAAAAGAACAAATGCAAAACACCTGTGTCTAATTCTGCACTGAGAAGGAGAGCCAGGGTAGAGCTGGGCAGAAGGCTGAGGGATATTGGTGAGGGTGCGCGTGCAGTCACACTACCTCCCAAAGAAACTGCACGATTGCCACCTGATGATGGTGCTTCTACTTGGTTACAACCTGAAGGTTCAGCAGTTATATTGGACCCCTTAGTACAGGGGTGGCCAACCAGTCAGAGGTTAAGAGCCACATTTTTTCTATGTTACTTCAAAGAGCCACATCAAACACACAGTCACTGATACCGCTTGTTTCAGTTTTTTGTTTTCTGGAGACAAGATTTCAACCACGTCACTGATGCATTTTTGTGGCATTGGGATATATATTTTTTAAATCCTCTGGAGCAGAGAGAGGAGCTGTGGATTATTGTTATTGATTAATGCATCAGTGTTTCTTAGGGTCAAAAACACTAAACTCACAACTTCAAATGAAAGCGTTTAGTTTATTTAATAAAAGAGCACATGTTCAATGTGAAAAGTGACAGTAGTTATAGATTATTTGCAATTTGGTGTTATATATATATTTAAAAAAAAAATTATATATATATTTTTTTTAAACACCTTGAATTTCAGGGGGGGCGCGGGGCTCCGTTGGCGGGGCGCAGCGCCCCTCCAAGACAATGGTAGGGGAAACACTGGATAATGTTTAATCAACGATAGGTTCCCCCCCCCCCCTCAAAGGTGATTGGTTCACTGCATCGCAGGTATTATTGTGATTGGCTCTTGGGCCACATCAAAATTATACGCGCTGTCATCCTCTCATACTGACACACAACATACATAACACGGGACGAAAGTAACGGAGCGATTGTATCCGAGCCCAAACAACTTTGACCGGCCAAATTACGTCAGAATTATCAGCATTCAATACTTAACAGACCTACTAAATATCAGGTTTAACTGTCAGGAGTAGCTAGTGTTGTCACGATACCAACATTTTGGTTTTGATACCAAGTCAAGAATTGCAATTCCGATTATTTTTCGATATTTTCTTAAAAAAAGGGAAACAGTCTTAAATGTAATTATTGTGCTTTATTTCACACCAGAACCATAACCATAACACAAACTTTTAAACAATGAGAACAATAAATAAAATAAATGACAAGAATTCGTATTAAATACAATTAATACATTTCTTACAGACGGGCCTCGTGGTGTCCGTAGGCTTGCCCTCACTGTCAGAGATATCGCTAAAATACTTCCAAATTTCGCTTCTGGCGTCTTTTGTCAACAAGCCGAGGCGCAGCGGCAGTTGCACTCCCACTTGCAGCCATGCTTCTCGTTTTCTCACATGCTCTGGCAGCTAGCGCGTGCACGAGAGAGGGGAGGCACTTAGAGCGTGCTTGAGAGGGGCGGGACTGCAGGCACGGCTGCAGTGCAGGGAGTGGAAGCAGAGCGCTGAACACACACGGCTCTTATTAAAACGGCGCTTTTTCACCGGAGTACTTTCCCCCGTCATTCTTAAAGTACCGATACTAATGAAACGGAGGAATCGTAACGTTTTTAACGGCAGGGTATCGCGGTACCTTTCAAGTATTGGTACACCGTGCAACACTAGTCAGGAGTCAATGTCTCTCCCCCAAACTCACACATAAAATTCGATATGAACTGAAGAGCCGCATGAAACTAGGCAAAGAGCCGCATGCGGCTCGAGAGCCGCGGGTTGGCCACCCCTGCCTTAGTAGCTATGGGCCCTGTATCAGAGGACAGGTGTCAAAGTGATTATGATGACACCAACATCTGATCAAACACACAGTCACTGATACCGCTTGTTTCAGTTTTTTTTTTCTGGAGACAAGATTTCAACCACGTCACTGATGCATTTTTGTGGCATTGGGATATATATTTTTTAAATCCTCTGGAGCAGAGAGGAGCTGTGGATGATTGTTATTGATTAATGCATCTTAGGGTCATAAACCCTAAACTCACAACTTCAAATGAAAGCGTTTAGTTTATTTAATAAAAGAGCACATGTTCAATGTGAAGAGTAACAGTAGATATAGATTAGTTGCAATTTGGTGTTATATATATATTTAAAAAAAAATTATATATATATTTTTTTTAAACACCTTGAATTTCAGGGGGGGGCGCGGGGCTCCGTTGGCGGGGCGCAGCGCCCCTCCAAGACAATGGTAGGGGAAACACTGGATAATGTTTAATCAACGATAGGTTCCCCCCCCCCCTCAAAGGTGATTGGTTCACTGCATCGCAGGTATTATTGTGATTGGCTCTTGGGCCACATCAAAATTATACGCGCTGTCATCCTCTCATACTGATCACACAACATACATAACACGGGACGAAAGTAACGGAGCGATTGTATCCGAGCCCAAACAACTTGACCGGCCAAATTACGTCAGAATTATCAGCATTCAATACTTAACAGACCTACTAAATATCAGGTTTAACTGTCAGGAGTAGCTAGTGTTGTCACGATACCAACATTTTGGTTTTGATACCAAGTCAAGAATTGCAATTCCGATTATTTTTCGATATTTTCTTAAAAAAAGGGAAACAGTCTTAAATGTAATTATTGTGCTTTATTCACACCAGAACCATAACCATAACACAAACTTTTAAACAATGAGAACAATAAATAAAATAAATGACAAGAATTCGTATTAAATACAATTAATACATTTCTTACAGACGGGGCCTCGTGGTGTCCGTAGGCTTGCCCTCACTGTCAGAGATAT